ACAACTCGAGTGGGTCTTTAAGGAGCACTCGGGCATTCGTTTCCCATGTTTAAATACCACGCATCTCTCTGTTTGCCGGGACTTTGTATGAAACAGATTAGTGTCGAGGCACCCGTGGAGAAACCGATTCTGCGGATAGGTAGATGACGTGCAAAGGGCAAATATATTCGCCCGCTGAGCCGACTGGAGCGCATTTCCCCAAAACTCCTTTTCCCCTCCATCAACCTTATCTGTGACTGTCCCTGATGACTGTTTAGAGTTAGAATCCGAAACTTTTGACCGATAGACTGCTTATCTAAGTGACTGCGTCTTCTTATTAACAGCTTCGTGGGAGCACGACTCATCGTCTTCATCAGAAACTGAACTTAACTATCCCCCCTTCGATGTATGCGAGCCGTCAAAAAAAACTGTCAAAGTCGGAATTAATTAGTTCATCCTTGCCGCCCACTGTGAATTTGTGGCGGTCAGATCTACACACTCTAACTTCCTCCCGTCTAATAGAAGAAGTCAATGAGCTACGAGGAGCAATTTATTCGTTATACAGGGCTGTTTGCTTGTGTGGCTGAACAAAGCGTCTGTTCGTTGCGTCGTTTACGTACTTGTGTATGCTTCTGTCAGCACGGGACCGTGAGTGTCTGGGTTTTGGGTGCATGATTAATTGATTGAGCCAAGGGCGGAGCGTATGATCACAAGGTCACCTGGGCGATAAAGTAAGCTGACCGACGCGCGTAAGATGGCCGCCAGGTGCAAGCGCGACCTTGACTAAGCGCAGGTCCAGCCCGGGGAGTTACCGTGTGCCTACTGGTTAGCCAGCTTGTTGCGGATATCGGGACGCAGGCGAAGGAGTCATCGCTGGAGCGGCTGCTACAAACAGAGCATAGCATTTGAAGCTAACATGCCACAAATGCTTCCGTACACGCCTCCAGGTACATCTAATTGGGATCGATCAGCTACGTGCCGACATCGGTTGCCATGGGCTAGTGGGACCAAATGTTAAGTACGCCAGCTCGACAACAAATTTCAATAGTTATCGCCTGATAAAAGGTTAATTCTGGTACCTGAGTAGCAGCATGTAAAGGAAAGTAAAAATGATACCCAGAATTCCAGCCATCGACCTTTAAGTTCAGTCAAACATTTTACAGATTAGAGAGGTCAATCGGAAGTTGTGGTGGCATCTTTGTGGCGGACGGCCAAAAATGCTGTTTCCCTCCCAATGCTCGTTGCGTCAACGTCATGTGGCTTCGCAGGTGGCTGTTTCTCCCTCGCTGATCTGAAGACTCTTGACTGACACCCTCGCGTGCACACACACGTGCGCCCAGATAATTATCACTACCAAAAGGGCCACTTGAATAGGCCACCTCCAGCCAACGTAACAGGGGCCTCTAGGTGCGACACCCCCTCGGGCAATGCAACACAACAATAGCACACCACGAGAACTCGCTCCGCAGTTAGACTCTCGGGCACGACTGGGCGTAGTTAACACCAGCTCTGGTTTTGTCAGTGGCCACTGCTGCCAAAGATAGCAATGCAGCGTTCTGTGCACAATAAGATCCCCATTATGGTGATTCTGCCTTTACCTACAACTTGGGATTTAACATGTTGATTGTAGTGCTCTAAGTTCACCTATCGCACGGGACTTATTAAGTTAAACCCTAGCAACCGCGATCTTCAGGCTCGGCTCCTTAGGAGAAGAGAAGAAGTTGGAGGCCAGGAACAGTTTATTTTGTACAGAAGGAATGGATAATTGGCAGGAGGAATCCGACTGTCAGATAAGCGAACAGCCACCGGCCACTGCGCCGCGTCGGAAGTGACGAGAGTGTAGGCGATCGCCGGAAGCCCAGCACATGATTTGTTTCTGCAGCCAATCCGAAAATGGTGCACTCTGATTGGCTCGAGCTCTCACGGGCTAATGCCAAGACTCGCGGTGGTTGCTTGACCTTGAGACGGGCGTAGGTGGGCCGTGCAATGTGCAGTCGTTGGCAGCGGTGAGCCTTCGTGCGAGGTTGTATGAGTGAGTCACCACACAACCACTACTTAGACGCTATATCTTCCACAGCATGGATCTATGCATGGCTTTCATCCCACCAACCCATCTCCGTGGCGCGGGGATCTGGACAATCTAGCAAACTTGAGCGACTAATGAAAACCAAATCAACCTCTATTGTTTTCGAAGTTGATAAGGATTAAGGTAATAGGAACAGGTTAAAGGCATGCATGAATGTGAAGCGACCTTGTATTTCTAAGCCATGCTTTCTTCGGACGCCGCGGGGCCAGACCGTGTCTAACATGTCCACCACGCGTGCGCAAAAGACGATATTAAAACCCCTCGTTCAAGGTCACCATCTGCTTGGCTTAGTGGTCAACCACTTCTCAAGGCAAGTGCACAAAGGGACTTACTGCGGGGTTGTTTACCCTCAGTCACTCCCAGAACCGGCGACCTACGGTTCGGTTGTAGTTGCCCGGACCCGGTGATCTACTTGCCGGACTGCGCCTCTGGACTCCGGCTCATTCATGGCTGGACTGCACTTGTCTGGGAGTCACTTACCCATTGCTTACATTCTACTCATGTTACACCTTATTTAATTATCCCTAACGCTCTGGCCTTCCACACCTTATATTATCAACTAGTTCATAACCGTTGGGATACGTTCTATCGCCTATTATCTGGCCGGACTACTTCGTATACCACAAATGTATGCCGGACACCTCTTCTCCCGGGAAGCCGACAGACACCGTAAACGAAAACTATTCACCAAGGACACATCGAGGGTCTTTTTTCAAATGTCGCCAAATTAATCCAAATACCTGCTAAAGACTTTGCAGAAATAGCAGGCGTTCTTTCCGGCTGGAACGGGCATTTTTGAAGATGAGCAAATAAGGCAGGGTGGAGGGGGCAGGGCGACACGATGCAGGGTTGGTGTGCAGTAGACCAACAGCGCCAACGTCACCAAATGTCAACTCCAGATGAGGGTCCGAATTGGTCTCGTTTATCACCTCTGTATTTACGGCAATGTCTGTACGATTAAAACAACCACTCATATTGGATTCTGCCACAACAAGGAGGACGGTAATTAGCATGGCAGACTGCGCCAAATTGTCTGCATTGTGGCCGGCCATTTCATTCAGGCATTGGCTTGGGCCGAAAGCCGACTTTTGGGGACCCGATCAGCAACTCTCGAGCGCGTTTTCCTTGTCCATATCTTACCGGCACAATTACCCCCTCTATGCGGCTTTTCTATCAAGTTCGCACATATTACAGCTCAAATGTGAAGCCTTTTCTGGAGTTTGCCAACGTCATCATGGCGAGCGACCTGTCAGGTGTCCTGGTATGACATGGATAAGGCGGAGGCCTTGAGCCAACCAAACTACAGTGTCCAATTTTATAATAAATCGTTCTACAGGCTCAAGAAGGCTACTGGCTACAATGAGGAGGATTCCGGGATACGCTTTCTTGCTAATACTAAGTCCCGGAGGTCTTTTAAACGATCACGACACTCTAAGAGACGAAATACCCTATGAGGGGCATCTTTTTTCTTTTTACAAAAAGCGTCTTTTTTGCGAAGCACATTGCACTGTTGCATCGGAGCTAAATAAGGTCAAAGCAGGTGTTTGACGGACGTAGGGCGGAGGCCTTATTCAACGTCCATCTTTGAACATAACCTTGTCATAGGCAGTCGACTTGGCTCTAACTAGTCACTATGAAAGGATGCGAGGAGGAAGAGTCTGAGATCGAAAAGATAGCCGATCTACCGCCGGGGGATATATTAATAGGTAAAACCCTAGCACCTGCGATCTTCAGGCCCGGTTCCTTAGGAGAAGTGGAGAAGGGTGAGACGTCAAGCTGAAGGAACAGTTTGTTCTGTACAAAAGGAAACAGAGAATAGGCAGAAGGAATTGGACTTCCAGACGAACGAGCAATTGTCCGCC